ACAAGGGTTTTGGACCAGAGAGTGTGGGGAGAGTGATGGGGAACCTGTTTTCTTTGATGGCAACCATTATTGGTTTGGGCTGGCCACTGCTCTTAAGGTGAGGTTTGACTACAGCAAACATTCACTGAAATTAATGTGTCAAGTGTCAAGCTTCAGGTTTAGCCGCATGGGGAACCTACACATGAATCTACCTGCAATCCACATTGGCCTGAAGGAGTTCATGAATGTGCATGACCTTTGGCCTAGGTACAGACCTGATGGTTTCCTTCATCCTTCAGATATTCTGCTGACCACTGACCGTGCCAGAGTTATGCACACCACCATTTCAGGCAAGAGCATTTGTAAAAACTGTCATCACTTTGCTGGCAGACAGGAAAGGTTAAATTCACCAGGGGCTCAGGTTGATGATGAGCACAATCCTCCACAACAAACTGTCTGCATGAATGGTTTCATACATACTGTCTACTCCTTGCCAACTCCTCTGACAGGCAGGCTTAAGAAACTCCCCTGACCACCACCGTACAGCCTGCTTAAACAGGTTTCTAGCCCGGTATTTTTAGCAGTCCTGCTCACACCCCCTGTACCTTCTCTCTGCATTTCAGTCTTGCTGTCAGGTGATTAGGCACTGTACACAGTGCCAGGATGGAAGCAACTCTATATGAAGGAGTTTTGGACTGGAGGGAGGAGGTCAAGATTTTAAAAGTTCAAGTTGTGCTTCTCTGAATTAACTTTGGCAATGCCTGAAGAGGCAGCAGCTGGATGAGAAATGCTGTGTTTCACGAGCAGGAGGCTCTATCTGGAGCATATTGTACCCATCCAATTAGGATCAGTCTCACTGGCTATGCCAGTCCTTCTTAGGCTGGAAAACCACTTTAATAAAGATTAGCAACACTGCAGTATTCTTGCCTACATATTGCATCACAAACTCTTTTGAAAGCCATGAGCCACCTCTTTAAGTAGGAGAGGGACTGCCATGGGCACATCCCTGTATACAGACAAGCAGGTTTTGTCCTGATGCCATTAATTCTCTGTAATAACTGGAGGTTTTTGCTATGGGGCTGTCTGCCAGGAGCCGAATATCACCAAAGGAAAACAACATTCAGAAAAGCCAGGAGAAGGAACTGGCTGGGAGATCCACATATCTGAATTACAAAGAGAGAGAGAGAGAGAGAGAGAGAGAGAGAGAGGAACTTCTCTGAAAAAAAACAAAAAAGGATGAAACAGAACCAGATAAAATGAGGCTCTATCTCAACACACCAGTTTCTTATTGAGAAACAAATGATACAGTCACCTTTGCTACATAGAGAAAAATGTATTTGTGAGGATATATAGCTAAAGCCACTTGCTTGCTTATGTAACTGCTTTCTCCTTGTCAAAGAAGAAGCAGAATCTTTGTATCTGGTTGTCACATACTGTGAGAGGGTGTCTGTCCAGAAATGACAAAGAAGATTGCAGCAAGATAAACTGATCCCACCAATCTTCATCTACCTAGATTACCTACTTGAAGGCAAATACATGCTAGCGCTGATTTCCAGCCCTTCTCCTGCATTTTTAATTCCTTCTCCTTCCAGTGTATGGCCCAGGTAGGCTTGATACGGTCCTAGCTGCCACTGGGGTAAGTACAAATGCGGGGTAGGTTGCACAGATCTCCCTGAGGCAGCATTTTTCTAGCTAGTTCAGATATGCAGCTAAGAAACAGCAGTGCAAGGTGTACCATAGGCAATTTGCCTACTGCAGAAGATAGTCCAGAAGAAATTTGCCCCAAGTATAGCATTATTGCAGCTGTGCAGCTTTTATGTCATAAACTGCAAATGCTAAAAAACCTCTTCGAGCAGTAGTCATCAGTATTGATTTTCTCATACCTTGAATTTCTTGAAACTCTGTTATACTGGGCAGTGGAAATAAGCTGCAGTATGCTAAGCCAAAACTGTGTATATAAGCAACTGCAAATCAGATGCTTTGAGTTGTGCTTAGTTTAAGGCCTTAATGCTGTAAGCTCTCTTACTTTTTAGGTAAGGAATGATGGGGGGACTTTACTTCATGTGGTTATGTGGAGGTCAGAGATTATGTAATAAAGTAAGTTGTGGGAGGCCTCTGGAGACTATCTTGTCCAACCCCAAATCTAAGCAGGGCTAGCTTAAATCAAGTGGCTTAGGCTTTTGACCAGTCAAGTTCAGAGTGTCTGCAAGGTCTGAGACTTGACAGCCTCTCCTGGCCCACATCAGACTACTCTCATAATGAAAACATGTTTTACCTCGTATGTAAGCAGAATTTTCCTTGCTGCAACTTGTAGTCATTGATCCCATCCTTCCACCGTGCACCTTCAAGAAGAATTTCTATTTCAACAAAGTTCATATGTTCCAACTTGCTCCAAGTCTGACCTGGTAATAAAGCAGATCTGCAGAGGACAAATGAGCCTGATACTGAATTTAAAGGAGCTATACTGCTTTATCAGCGTGGAGGATCTGGCCCTTCCAATGTCAACAGTAAGGCAATGTATAGACAGCTGTATCTCTAAGCATCTGAAAATGCTGACATATTTAGCTGCCTTGTATTTTCAGGCTTGGTTTAAGCAGCCAGCTAACCTGCAAATGACTTTCACAGAGCATAAAAGCACACTTGAATATCCCCAGCTTTTACATAAAAAATAGCTCAGGAAACTCAGACAGAGTCTTATTTCCCCAGAGACTCTAGAGCCACATTTGAAAAGCCAAAGTTCCGCACTTCCAACACTTCCTAGTCCTACATCTTCCACCCACATTCTTTATTAGACTGTAATTCTGAATGCTGTTGTTTGCTATGGGATCTCTAAGCTGAGGTCCCAAGGCAAAGGGAACTATCAAAGCTACAGTCAGAAAAAGTTTAATCTTGCAAGAGAAAATGTTAACACTGAGTCCCAGATTTTTTTGCATTTCTTAATAGTTTTTAAAAAAATTTAAAATGGAATGACTGATTACTTATTGAAAAAAAATACACTTTTCTATATTCCCTGCTGGCAAAAGCCTTGATTAGTTCACAGGAGTCTATTTTGTTAGCATTTTAATTTCATATCTAGTCAAAATTTGTCCTTCAGTCTCTACTGGCCCATAACTGACCTCATGTTACTGCATTTTGTTCAATCTCATCATGGGTTTCAGCTTTGCAAAGTCTGGTTTCAGTAGGATTGATACTTCTGAGCACTGTGTAGACCCTCCCCCTACGTAAGAGTTGCCTACAACACAATTCAGCTTTCCAGAAAGAAAAATGTGAAAGATTTAGAGTGAGCTAGTGGGGAGTTTCTTTTGCTCATCACCAAGTTATCTGGGTCTTTTTCATACCCAAGAAGCTGGTATGAGACACCAGGAACTCATGCCTGTTCTCTCTAAAGCTGCGCTCTCTAGTCCTGGACATTTCTGAGGTGCCAGCAGGACAGAGTATAGTGAGCTGTATAGTAAATGTGAGGTGAAAATCCTCAAGAAACAACATTACAAACTGGGAACCCTATCTTATCTCCAGGGGATGTAGTGTCCTAAGATTTCTGCTCTCAGCACTGATATTTCCCTTTTCTTGCATATAGCAATAAACCCCCTGTACAGTAATCTTTTGGGAAGGTTCAAGTAAATGGAATCAGGGCTTCTTAGGAGAAGGTGCCCTTTATACCTTCAGCATAAACACACAGGAATATTTCTCATTTCAAAGCTCTGCCCCAGTAGTGCCAGCAAGATTCAATGGAAATACTGTTTTTCTCTTGAGTCTAAAGCTAGTGCTGCAGTTTAATGAGTAGTACTTTGATAGGCTGGTAGAAAGTCTAATGATATGGATTTAACTGTGTTGGACATCAGCTTTATTAGGCTGTTTCTGAGACATGGTAGTATTGACAGTGTTTATGATAAATGACACTCCTCAGTTATTCTTGCATGACTGGTTTATTTTCAAAGTCCCCAGAAGGTTTAGAAAAGATGAAATATTCACAATGGTGTCGTGTCTGGGCTCCTTCGTACCAAGTTGATGAACAGAATGTTTTAATCCTTATTTTCTTTGTCAACAGAGTCACAACGAGGTTTTGATTACAGAATGAAAAATGTCATTTTCTGGTCAGATCAGTTTTCTGAGCTCATTAGAAAAACCCTGTGATTCACAGTGCTTGGGGTGTGGCTTTTTGTAGTGGTCACTCAGTGTCAGTGGGAAGATACTCCATTTGTGAATCAGAGAAGAGTCCAGCTTTGGGATGGGGTTGAACTCCATATTCTGCAGCTGCTTTTTCCTCTTCCTTGCAGGACCTTCAGCATCATTTTGGAGCAACCGAGATCTCATTCTAACTTACATCAAGTTCTATACAGAGTTCATGATTGAAATGAAATATCCTGGTGTAGGAGGGCATTTTCAAAACACTGTGGGAGTGTTGAGGGAAGTACTTTTTCTGATCACACCACAAGAGGTGAAGCAATGTTGCAGTCTAGGAGTCTACTTAGGAATTCACAGCACCTGGACTTCTGCATGGGCTCTAACATCTTACTCTTAAGGTTAAGTTAAAGTTTAGCTTGTTTAGAAAGTTCTCACACCACAATGGTACAGTCAGAAAAACACCTTTTCTTTGCAACTGCAAAGTTAAACTGCTGGCTATCCCTGCTGCTGTATGAATGGTATGAGAAGAGAACAGCAGTCACTCAGGGGTCAATGGTTGGTCCAACACGGAAGGACTTTGGTGACAAACTCATTGCAGGGCTAGTGTGGTTAAAATACACAGGCATTTGTAGCAGTTGACATGTGTTGTATCCGTGGAATTAGCAGTACAAATGGACACTTTTGACTCATTTCTTTAATGATAAAGGAGTTCATTCACATTGTCTGCTAAAGAATGTCAGGCGCCAGTCACCTGTGATAAGTACCTGTCTAGAAGGTGTGGTAGATGCCATCCCAACTGCAGAGCAATTTACAGAAATTGCTGCACCTCTGAATCGTCTTGTGGTCCTGTAGCCTTTTCCTGTAAAAAGAACTACATCTTTCCTTGGTTTTCACAGCTGAGAGGAAAGGGAAACGAAGAATCCGGACAACGTTCACAGCTGAGCAGCTCCAGGAACTGGAGAAAATTTTCCAAGTGACTCACTACCCGGACGTCCATATTCGCAATCAACTGGCAGCAAAGATAAACCTCCCAGAAGCCAGAGTTCAGGTACTGTACATCTCCAAAAGGCTATGTTCACTGCAATTCATTCATTATTTGGCGTGCTTAATAGTTTGTGCCTGGATGGCAATGCTAATGAGATACGTGACCTCTCTCTTACCCTGCAGACGAGGCCAGTATCACTCTTCTCTTCCTACAAATAGGGAAAGAAGTATTTGTCACCCAGCTGTGACTAACCAAATGGAATTAATCAAAGGGTTAACAGGAGCTCCCAGCATACTAAATGCATAGCAAATAGGAGTTACAGGTGGTTATGAGCAACCTGTTGGACTCTGTAGCAACAGAGCAGCCACTTATGGAAATATTTATTAATCATTTATCAACCATTTATAGGCTAATATTCATCCAGTACAAACTGTCATCCACATCCATCTTCCACAGAGTCTCAAAAAATGTGAAAATAATTGCCAAAATGAAAGTGCTTCTTAGCGTTCTGTATTTTGATATCACAGGCTGTAAATGGCCTGGATATAATTTCAGTGCACAGAAACTAATCCAGTTTCCCCCAGTTGTAATATAATGTTGCTGACTGAGCTAAAAATTGATGTCAAATTCTTACTGCATAGTAAATCTCCTGCATTAAAATGTACATACCACTCTGTACTGGCATTTGGTGTTGTGTACCAGGCACTGTAGTGATGATTTTTTGCTTGAGACAGTTTTTGCACTTGCCCCAGTGCTATAGTCATTGGTGCATTTTTTTTCATATATCCCTCTCTAACAATCAAAGTTCAACACAGAGCTGTTTATTGACCATGGCATGCCTGGGACTATTGACTAGCCATGATAATATTGCTTCATCGTTAGGTGACAGGGAGAATTAGACCTGCATTGCCACAATATGCCCATTAGCAATACCAGTACACCAACAATGCGTTTCCAACAGCATAAAACACAAGCTGGGCTGCCAGCAGTCAATGTTCTCTACAGAACAATGAACCACATGAAGGAACCAGACATGTTTTTCTTTAAAAAAAATTAATCGCTATGGGGAAAAATAAAAACGAGTTTTTATGGGTAACATCAACCTGAGATGTAAATGAAAGAAGTAAAAAGTCTCTCATGTATGAAGTGCAGATGGCAAATTCCCAATCCAGACAGTGTTATACAAGACACAGGAAATTCTGTGTTTGACCTCATCCTGGCTGATAAAGGGAAATCAGCCACAGAACTAAAAATTAGCAGTAACTTGGGTTCAAGTTTCAAGTTATAGTTTTGATTGACTGCATTTGTCACACAAGTCAAATAGCACACAGAGAATATGTGTGAGCACACAAAGAATGTGCTCTTGCTACTTTGAAATAACAGTTTTGACAAAGCTGAAAGCTTTGTGTCAGTCACATCACCTCAGAAATATAACTTAACTGTCAAATAAGTAAGTGAACACCCATTCAGTGACCAAATTAAATCCTTCATAACTGTGACAAATCTTGTGTCTTCCATTCAAGAAAAAAAGTTATGATTGCTGTGAAACAGCTTAAGTGGATAGATAAAATTGTATAACTGCATGTGTTACACAGAAAAAATTAAGAATCCTGTATGAATAAACATGAGAAAAAATAAACTATAAAAAATAAATAAGCAAAGCAGGAGGGTGCAGGCCAAAGCTTTGATCAGAAAAATTAAGGATCAAAAACTCAATAAAAGTCGATTAAGAACAAAAAAAAAACAAAAAACAAAAAACCCCAAAGTGATCAATTATACTGATCTGTTACTTTATAGAAACAGTAGGACTGTCAATGATAGTGCATAAATGTCAGAGATGTTCTCTCATAATTTCTGCTCTATCCTTGGAAATATGTCAGGTAAGGTGCCAGCACTTTCTATAAGGATAATGTTGAACAGCAGCTGCTACAGACAGATAATTTTTAATCTATACATCTAAGTAACTTACCTCCAGTGGTTCTGAAAAAGCTGCTTGAGAAGCAGTTTGGGTCATCAGTGTTGATATTTAATCAGTTCTGGAGCATGGGAGACATTCCACTCCAGGGGCCTTGAAGAAATCGAATGTTACGTCAGTATTTAAAGGGTAAACAGGACAAGCAGATAATGAGTGGCCTGTCAGACAAACATTGATTTCTGACAAAACTGTGAAAAGGACTGTATATTCTGTTAATGGGGAGTTAAAGAAAATGTATCGTATTTAATGCTTATCAGCACTGGTTCATGAAAATGGACACTGCCAGAACTCATCTTTTTATGGTGAGATTATTAGTGACAGTTTTAAACTGAAAGAAGGTAGATTTACTTTGTGTATGAGGAAGAAATTCTTTATGGTGATATTGGCAAGACACTGGAACAGATTGCCCAGAGAAGTTGTGGGTGTCCCATCATTGGAAGTGTTCAAAGTCAGGCTTAATGGCACTTTAAGCAGCCTGGTCTAGTGAAAGGTGTCCCTGCTCACAGCAGAAGTGTCGGAACTAGATCTTCTTTAAAAGATGCATTCCAGCTGAGACCAGCTCTATGGTTCTGTGATCCTGTGAATTTGGTTGATAAAGGTATGATACCTGTGGTAGAGCATGCAGAGTAGGTTTAAAACACAATAAAAAGAACTCATGCTGGGTATTGAGAAATCATTTTAGACATAAGGGTGCTGAAGAGCTGGTTGGGCAAAAAAGAGCAGTTTGGTCTGAAAAGTGTTAAAATCTTTGCCTTTAGTTATAAAAAGTAAGTCCATGAAGTGAGAGCTTTATTCCACGTGCAGATTTTAGAAGGAGTGCTTCAGAGACTGAATATTGGCTGGAGTGCCCCCTTTGCCCTCTATCACTTGGTGAGTGTTAAATGGTGCTGTTTCATCATATAACTCCTGCATGGTAGAAAGGGAATGGAGAAGTTCATACACACTAAGCAGTTTCCAGACACATGCAAAGCCAGATAAACAAAACTGTCCTCTCAGTAACCCCAGATACTTCTATCAGCAATATAGCAGCTACCTATCAGCAATATAGCAAAGGGCTCCTGACATTCCCATTACTTCTTGGGTGAGAGATGCAGAAATAACTGAGCTGCTCATTATTTGGCTTAAAATACATATGTATTTACATCCAGTAGCACCTGGCTTCAATAACTAACACTTTGTGTTCATGTGATCCACCTGCTTACATTCAAACAGCAAGTCCCTTAGTAAGCTAAAACTGAAATTGAAAGGGGCTTCAACTTTTCACAGCAATGCAGCAAGATGAACAATTGCAGCGGCACAATAAATACATTTATACCTCTGCCAGAAGACAGAATGGTCAAATCAGCTGACAGATGAAAGGAACTCCCCAGACAAAATTAGTTGTCTGCTTTCCAGTGCAAAAGAGATGGCAGACAACATATTAGATTGCTGAGTGATCCCCTTGGGTCTTTCACTTAGGTCCCTTCTGTGAATTTCCAAATTCTACCAGCTAAATATAGGTAGAACCCTGTAACTCCATCTGCACAGGTGACACACTTTTATTGCAGCCCAGCAAAACATCTAGGTGGATCTTTTCTCAGTCTATTCACTTGGAATGACTCTAAGGGTGGAAGAGCTCTGTCATGAAATGTCACACTTTCTAGGGAACTCAGAATGCTGTGTGCATTGACCACTGCACAGCTTTGACCACAGAAGGATCTGCTTTCCCCAGAGAGCCCTGGAAAACTGTCTTTCCTTGAACAGGGTGATCCTATGTCTTCTGTGAGCCACAACAAAAAACAGGGTATCACAATAGTCCAGAGATCCCATATGCTATGCAAAGTGTGAAAAGTGCTCTGTCAAACCCAGTGGTTTCCTTTAGATTCATCCCCTGGTTCTGCCAAACTGGAGGTCAGTGTTTTCTGATGCTCAGAGTTTAGGGAAAGTACTTGGCTTTGAGAAGTTCCTCCTTCATACTCTGTTAATTTCTGTACCTTTTCTTTTTTACCTTTATCCAGATCTGGTTCCAGAATCAGCGAGCAAAGTGGAGGAAACATGAAAAGTTCGGGAACTTTGGTGGCCTTCAGCATATGACAGAAGTTGATTTTGCTCCCAAGTCAGATATAACAGTGAGTATTTGACACTTTGTGTTAAGCCACTGAGAGAGAGACAGCTATCCTTTACCAGGTAGTCACTCCACCAGTAATCCCATGGGACTATCTCAGAGAAGGAGCTCTGGAAAAGACAAAACTGGCAATATGATGACAAGAAACCCCACCATCAATCCACTGATCAAATAACACATTTCTTCCCAGAATTAAACCTGTTCCATAAATATTCTATGAGTTGTCTCTTGTAGGGTGGTCCTTCCCCATTTTGCTTCTAAATCACTTCCCTGTAAATCATACTTTGATTCAGAACATTTTAATAATCAGAATTTTCCTGAAAATGAGGACCTAAGACATTTGCAGCCACAAAGCAATGTTCCTCTTTTCTCTTTACAACATCCAGCCTTGGTTGGGCTGACCAGCACTTTTTGCCCTCAACCTATGCTTTAGCAGTCCAGGACTGTTATTTATTTAGGCTGCCACACAGGCTCTTTCCCTGACAGGAGACTTTCAGGACTAGAAAAAAGTATATTTTGCTTTGTGTCCTGGGTGACAGCACACCACTGGGTTTTAGGAAGTCTGTTTTTCTAAACTTCTCTTCTTAATTACCGAGCACCAGGGAAACAAATAAGGTTGATTGTAAATTTCATCTAAGTAGAAGTCCATATTGATTCACCTGAGACTACGCTTTTATTCTTGAAAGGCTCCTATCTTGATGCCAAGAAAGCTCTCTGCTTCCTTTCCTGCCATGGGATACTACTCTCCACTGCAAGGACAGCTGACAACTGCCCGGCTGCCCAGCACGCTCTCCTTCGCTCCCCACCACGTGGAGCTGCTGCCCTTCCCAAAACCACACTTGCTCTTCCATGTCCTGCCCCCTTACGGCTCGCTGCTACCCCACAAGTTGGAAAGGAGCAGCATCTGTGCCAGCTCCTCTTAGAGGAGGACACAGGGTGTCTGGGGAGTGTGTTTCTCCCCATGTTCTCCGTCAAGGTGTGCGGTTCCTCTCCTTGAACAAACCTGCTGGGATGATGGGTGGCAGTGGTGCCAGGTCACCGTGCTGGAGGACTGCTGCCGGGAGTTGCTGCAGCCCAATGGATGTGGGCAAGAGGCACCAAGGACCAGAAAGGAGCTCCTCATCTCCCTGAGGAGCAGCACATTCCATGGAAACCCAGCCCTTCAGCCGAGAGCCTCTCCCCAGCGGGACAGTGCACCAAGCAGCTCTGTGGAAGGACTGGGATTTTACTCAGCCACGAGACACTGGATGACCCTATTGCACTCATGCCTTGGGGCAGGAAAGGTGCCTGGGATAAAGTGTGCATAGGCATAAGGTCCAGATAAAAGTGCTTTTCTCTGCAGGTTTTGGTCACTTTTCTCTTACATTCTGGTACTGGGCTGCTGCAAAGAATATGTTTAGGTCAAAAATCAAACTTTGAAGATACCTTGTTTTTTTTTCCAAGTACTCAGTTGGTGGCGGGGAGGGGGAGGTTGTTTTGCTGTCTATGTTTTTGACTTGAATAAAGGGACACAAACACAATCTGAGCTGAAATACAACAGTCTGAGCTCTGGATTTGGTACTGCAAGTCTCTGGGGGCAAGAGAATTCTTCAGCTGGTTAATTAAAATGCTTATGAGGAAGCCTCTCATTTTTTGATCTAAATTAAGAAAGCTCCAAAACTCCCCCAAAAACAATAACAAAAGGAGGCAGCCTGAGTTTAATCTGCTAGATTCAATAGGATGATATGACCCCATAGTTTAGTTTAATTGTAGATAAATAATGAGATCAGCCTGCCCATTTACAAAACGTCTCTATCCCTGTTATTTACATAATACTCATCACCTTCCAACATATGGTGCTTTTCTCTCCCCTGCTTATTCAGGGTCCAGTTCTGCTTCCACTAATGTCTGCACTGTATATACTGTATCCTTACTCTTACAGATCTTTATAAGATCTATACAAGACCTTTTTCTGAATGCTCGATCATCTTCATCCCTGTCATCTTATCAGTCAGTGAAGGACGCTCAGGTCAGATACAGGGCTAAACTTCATCTCCAGCAAAGAGCTTAAACACCTAACTGATTAAATCAACACAAATTAGTTGTGGTGTTCACCTCATGCAACTTCAGATGACTGCATTGTAGCCACACACACACACACACACACACACATAGTCAAATTAAGGACCTTGAGCTTACTTTAAAGAAGAAAAAGTGATCACACTAAGGTGTCTTTATTAGGTGCAGTTCACTCATGAGTGCAGTTTCTGGGATGTGAATTGTCCTTACACAATGATTATCTGGAATGCAGGCATCATAATCATCTAAAGCTATGGAGACATGACTGCACAATAGCCTGGGTTGACATAGCTTTTCCTACATGAATATTTCTTTAGCCTAGAGGAGGATTCTGGGATGATCACAACATCACCATTTTCCTTGGTCAGGATATGGAGGTCAGAAGCTTAGGATGCTACTTTTACATTGTTTCATAGTCTTGATGTTTCCACATAATGCCAGGTTGGACACACCAGTCCTTGGCACATCCTCAACTCTGCAGTTCTTCAGACATACAGGATTACTTTGGCAAACACATCTTAAACCTGACAAAGAGTTGCTTCAGGGAGAAGTCGTCCAAGGAAGCTGACCACACAAGACATGAGGACAGAAATGTGGTCATAGTTTCATCCTAATCTTCCTCACCTGATAACAAGTGATTCAAATGACAGGGTTTACAAGCCCCCTGGGGTAAACTCCTGTAGTCTCACAGTTCTCCATGACATTCCACTTGTATTTTCTATATGACAGCTTCAACCTTTTATCTTCCCTAAAACTCCTTGTGACCTGAACAATTTCTACCCCTGGCTTATGGCCCTGATTTCCATTTTCACACTGACTTTTTGGTGAAAGAAAGAGAGTAGGAGAGCCCAGGGGCCTCTAGAAAGCTTTCCTTTTATGGTTGCTGCTGTTGTTTTTTGGGGGTGGCTAGAAAAAAGAGCTGGGGTTTTGAGGGTGTGGTTTACTTTTAAATGTATCTCTTGTTTTCTTTTTTCTTTTTTTCTTTTTTTTCCTCTTGTGTTTACCACGTGTTTTGTCACAAAGGGAGCATGCAGAGAGGGTGATGCCTGCTCTGCAATTCCATGCAGGTACACACTAGACCTTGGGTCAAAAAAAGCTGTGATTTAAAGCAGCCAAACATCTGGTTCCTCATGCTTTTTGACCAAGTTCTACATTCTCTTCCTGCTCTGTGTTCTGACCTGACTTTGCTGAGCAATTGTAAAATGTCCTTCCTTTGTTCCCTCACATCTCCCCTTAGCCTGGACGATTGGTCTCGCCTGAGGGCCTATTTCTGTTTTCTTGCTATGCTCACATTTTGCCTCCATGTAGTTAGATTTGGCTTTGGAATGAGAAAACACTATCACTTCTAGCTCAAGAACCACCAAATGAGCCAATGTCTGTGCATCTCAGGGAGATTAACCCAAAAGACTTGGTGTAAATAAGGGCTTAAGTCAAAATAAAATGGTCAGTGAATTAATTCAGGTGTGCTTTTATCCAACCAGGAGAGTTTGGCTCTTCCAAGAAGGTCTCCTGGATACTTCCTCCCTGCTTGTATTCTTACACAAATCTCCTCTCTTCCTGGAACAGCTTTATCCCACTTCCAGGACACGTTCTCGCTTTTGCTGAAATACATAATTTACAGTGTCTATCCAAAGATACCAGCACAGAATGATTTTATTTTCAAGTGACTAACAATAAAAACTCACCTCCTGACCTCCTGAAGCCCAGCTGAATGGAGAGGGCAGGAAGGGAAAATGCCTTTCATTCCAGGTCTTCAGAGCTGGAGCTTGTGAAAGCACTCTGGAGTTTCATCAAAAATGAATCTGGTGTCAAAGCCACAAGGTGGGTTTAGATTAAATGCTTCAAAAGGAAACTCAAACAGGTTTGGTTTTCAATAAGAAAAAAAAAAAAAAATAAATCTGTGCCCCAAAGTAGCAAATTATTCATTATTCCAACAGCTATTAGATACATATTATATTGTCATGGGCGTTTCAAGCAGAGGATGTCCCATCATGAGAGAGCCTGCACTGGCACTGTGACCCTTTCTGGAGCCATCATAGCAAGCAGTACATGTTGGCCACCTGAATGATCTGAAACCTGTTTAAGAATTAAAAGAGTACCAGCCAGCAGCCATGTGCCAGGAGTCTGTAGTAGTTGTCTGTTTCTCTATGTTTCAAAACTCTCATAGTCTCGTTCTTTGCCATCACATTATTCATCTTTGTCTTATGGCTGATGTTGAGCTTACAGGACAGAAATTCACTGAATCCTTCATCATCTTTGATTAAATATAGATGCTGCTATTTTCAGCCTTGCAGACCCCGTGCAAGCTTTGTCAGCTTTTAATGCTTTCCAGTGCTTCCAATAGCAGAAAAGGGCCACTTTTGTCTGCATCCCTCAATAATAGGAAAAGCCAATTTAACACTTTCTTTCTTTGCAGGAAGCACATTCCTAAGTGTAGGGTGACCTTTCCTCTGCTTGTGACCACTGAAGCTGGGAAAACTTTCAGGGCTCTCAGCAATACCAACCTTGTCCATCATGAGTCTTCCACTCTCTGAAGCCTTGCTTTTCCCCACCTCCTTTCTTTTGTCTCCCTCACACATTAACAGGACTAATGCCCCTGCTACTTTTGCTTTATTCCTTCCACTAATCTCTTTTTTCTGTTCTGAATTTAGAGCTGTCCCATACAATGCTGCCAGGATTTCCCAAGCAAGAATAGGTGCACGCTCATTTTAGGGGCGTCTCGCTGGGTAAACACCGCCTCACTACCGTGAAAATCTTGCTGGTGTAAAGACCTACTCAGAAGGGCCTTTTTCCTTTCTTTCCCTGGAGCAGAAGTAAATAGCTGTCTGGTGTTCAGGGTCTATCATATGAGTCCCAAGATTATCTTTCTTATAGTTACAAAAAAGCAGGTCCCCACCAAGGGGTCTTAAATCTGAGCCTGCATCACAGGTGTTAGCAGTCTTTTATTGATGGCATTTTACAGCACACCACAGTGCAATCTGGCTGCTCTCAGACACTTGGAATTTCAACAAATTTTAACTTTCAAATTTTGACATTTCTCTGTGTTATCTGTCTGCCTCAGGCTGGTGTCTTAAATCTAAGCAATTCAGTCCCTGAGGCTAGGGAAATTGCGCTTTTTAACTCAGGGTGACAAAATTTGGTGCCCTTCTGAAAACAGCCCTTGGAGCAGGAGCTTGAAATCTGGCACAGAGGTGGCCTCTCCTGTTAATTTTCCTCTTTGCCATCATTGTCACCAACTACTGTCATCTGGCCAAAGTATTAGTCTTCGAAAAGTATTGGTTTGCACAGGTTTATTGTGTATCCTTTAGATGATAGCAATTACATTCCTTCTGGAGTCGATGCTCCCTAGGAGCATTTACTCTGATGGCTCAGCACAATTTCTCCCCACAAGTTCAGTTCCTGCTTTTCTGTGAACAACACATGGCCCAGACTCTCCTGAAAGCCAGCAGGGCCCTTTCCCTTTGCTTCCTGAATGCCCCACTGCCTCAATCACAGCATCAGCCTGGTGGGGCAATCTCCTCAAGACTAATAGGGGAACACATAAATTATTTCCTGTGACCACTCACAAAATACGTAGAGTGCAATGGGGCAAACACTGCCTTTTGATCTTTACCTTGCAAAACTCTGCTGTTCAGCTCTCTGTAACTGGGAGCTAGGAATGCCTCCAGGAAGGATGATGAGCCTGGCTGTGGGAGTTGGAAGTCTGGTTCAGTATCTGTTGCTACCAACAGGAAAATGTCCATCTACCTTGGCAGGCCCAGAGTTGGTGTGTGCTGGAAAAAAACACCTCTAACACACATACTCACTAAAGAGAACTGCAGCCAGATGCCTGTTTATGTTGCACAGGGAGTTATTCAAATGCAGACCAGCATTAGTATAGCATTCCAGGAGTTAATATCATTCCAGGCAATTTAGTGCTCTCAAATATTAAAGCTGCTGTCCTTATGAAAACAACAGCATGTGGTAGCATCTTATGTTTTCTGTGGTTAGTTGAGCTATCTCAGACAAGCTGTTTTAATAAAGTCATATTTGTACTCACGTTACAGTGAATGATAGATAGTGCTGAAGGAGCTATGAAAATTCAAATCTCCACTACTGGGAAGCCAAGTCTTCTCAGCTCTTGCAGGATCTCTTGCAGCACACAGCACTAGCCCAGGAAATGTTTTATCACACTGTCATAAAGTAACTGGTTCTCAGTGTAAATGTTTACTAGGAACAGAATTAATCTTGTGCCTTCATTTTCCATGGGAAGCATGTGATCAGGTAAAATACTGCCAGTCCTGCTTCTCTCTGAGGACCAGTAGATCCTGCCTGTGCTCTTGGATGCTTGCTCTCCTGGCCCCACAGCCTTTGCATTCCTGTCTGCACCATGAGCCAGCCCGAAAAGGGGTCACTCCCTTTTCCCATACCAACCAGAGCTGTGCATCCCATCTTCCTGAAGGCAGAGAAAACTGAGGGTCCACATCCTGGAGAGCAGGAGCTGTGATCAATAGGT